TGTGTCCCTCAACACGTTTACAGTATTTATTTAGTTAACCGGATGTCTCCTTTTGTGTGTTTGTATGGATTTGACTGTATAAATGTGTAAATGCAAATAACCATGTTGTGACTACAGAATAAAGAGCCTGTATGTTTGCTTGCTGTGAATGTTTTCACAGTGAGGTCTCCAGGCAAAATGTTTTTACAATCAAGAAGTTCTTGTCAAGTCATTTTCTACATCGATTGTATGTGTGCATATGATATTCTATGCTGATATGAATTAAACGTTTGGCACTAAGTTGGGCATTAGTGCAGTGCTTTAACCTATAAAACACCGTCTTCTGCCATAATCATCCTTTGGCGTTACAGCTCAGGAAAGACAGAAAACATGGAATCTACAGCCCTCTGTGGTTTTTAATAAACACATCCCTCAGAAATGTTTGATTTTTTTTTTTTAACAATGGATATGAGGCATACATTTAATTCTTTTAACTTGTAAGACTAACATATATATTCCAGAATGCCTCTTATTTTTGATAATAAAATTTGGAATATGTAATATTTTACCTGCCTAGTCATACAGTAGTAAAACACATCTTTTAATTCCTTAAATAGAGCATTTACTCTTCCAATTTTACATCTGTGTTCAACTAAATTAAATAGGTAGTAGTTCTACACACTTCTATATAGAACCTTCAGCCAAGTGGTTCATATACAGAATTTCAATTTTATGAAATAAACAGCTTGTAAACAATTGAAATAACCTGTTAAACATGAAAGTAGTATTATGCAATCATTTAGGACATTTCTCTTAATTTTAAAGAACCTTTTTGACAGTTGTAATCAAAATGATTCAACTCCCATTGAAAACCAGGTTTATTGGCACAATTTACAGACTGTCAGCTATTGCAATAAGTTAAACAAAAGTAATTGAAATGGCTCAACACACATATTTCAAGTGGTTTCCCCAAATTCAACAAAAAATGCAACGTTTATGACTTCTGCAGTATCAAAATTATTCAACCCCTTCATGGCAAGCATTTTCAGTACTTAGTAGAGCACCCTTTTGCTGTTATGACCTGCTGCAAACGAGATGTATAACCAGACACCAGCTTCTGGCAGCGTTTCTGAGGAATCTTAACCCATTCCTCATGAGCAATCGCCTCCAGTTCAGTAATATTCTTGGGTTTGCGTGCTGCAAACGCCTTCTTCAAACCCCACCAGAGATTTTCTATGGGGTTAAAGTCAGGGGACTGTGATGGCCACTGTAGAATCTTTCAGGACTTCTTCTGCAACCAAGGCTTGGTGGAATTTGAGGTAGAGGCCTGCATTTCAGCCCGAGCCCGACGGGCCCCGACTTATTTACGCTTCTAGGGCCGGGCTTCGGGCCAATTTTCACGTCATAGTTCACACGCGGGCCGGGCCTCGGGCCTGTTTTAGGCTTATCTTTTTTTATAGCCTATTTTAGACATTAATTAAAATAAAATATGAGAAGATGACGATTGAAAAGCAAACATAGAAAGACGTTTTATAACCTATCACACTGACATGACTGACACATGACAGTCTGCTCACGCACACGCACAGGTTTCCCGGCGGCGCGATCTGAGATTCGTGCGACCGGCTCGTTCTGTGTTTAGTGTCCCGGTGGCGAGCGTGACTTCAGCGCAGCTGGAAAAAGTACGACTGGATTAAAACCTTCCACTGTGGATGCTGTGCTTTTTCTTCACGATGCTCTGAGACTGTTCTTAGCCATGTAAGGAGGTTGTTTTTTGTTTGATTGGACTTTATTTTCATGAGTCTGTTGAAAACTATTGGAAATAAGAATGGCCATGTTCTGTAGTGAAGACTTGATTTTTGAGGTAAGATAACCTGCATGTTTGTTTTTAATGTAATTTATTTGATTTGTTTAGATTGCATTCTCTGTATTGTATTGTAAACTCATTTAGTTTGCGAGCGCTGTTGCGACTGAGCAGCAGAGCAGTTTGCCTCAGCTTTTCAAAAATGACAATAAACGTTTAAACAAACGTTAACTGTCTGTGTGATATGCTTAAGTTGTTTTATATATATGGATTGTATTGTAGCCAAGTAAAGTGTTGATTTGAGAGGCTATAAATGGATCAAACATGTTTAACTCACTGTCGGCTGCTTGGTCGTCATAAAAAAAAAAAAACATTTTTCTAAATTAACTTTATAAAGAAATGAAAATAAACTTACTGGTAAATACTTTGCCATTGAGAAGAAAAAAATATCAGTTTTACTGACTGCAACATAGGGCAGGCTGTGAATTTTTTTTTTTTTTTTTTTTTTTTTTTTTTTTTTTTACGGGCTCGGGTCGGACTCGGGCTGATCATTCTAATGAGCTGTCGGACACGGGCCGGGCTAGGGCCTGAGCGTCTCGGGCCAGGGCCGGGCTAGGGCCTAGATTTGAGGCCCGTGCAGGGCTCTACTTTGAGGTATGCTTGAGATCCTGTTGGAAGGTCCAATGGTGCCCAAGCTTCAGCTTCCTCACTGATGGCATGGCATTTTCTCCTCGGATTTCCTGATACTTTAATGAATCCATCTTGCCTTCCACACGTTGCAGGTTTCCAGTGCCAGAGGATGCAAAGCAGCCCCAGAGCATCACCGAGCCCCACCATGCTTAACTGTAGGCAGTGTTCTTTTCAACATATGCTTCATTCTCCTGTTGTCATTGTCATTACTGCTGATCCATAGGGCCGAAAAGTTCTGTTTCATCGCTCCACAGAACAGAATCGGAGATAACTTTTCCTGTGCTCTTGGATCAGTAGTGGTGTGCGTCTTGAAGTTCTGCATGGAAACCGCATGCGTTTCATACGTGCCTTACTGTGCAAGCTGAAACCTCAGTGCCTGTTGCATCCAAGTCTTGCTGCAGGTCTTTTGCAGTCACTTGAGAGATTTTCTGAACTTGCCTTCTCAGAAATCTGGTTGCAACCGTTGATAGCTTCCTTTTTTGATAGCCGTTGATAGCCCCATCCAGGTAGTGTAACCACTGTTCCTTTAACGTTGAACTTGCAAACTATGCTTCAAACAGTGTCTCCAGGAACATTTAGTGCCTTCTCTATCTTTTTGTATCCTGTTCCTTGTTTGTGAAAGGCGATAATATCTTCTCTTAACTTTCTGGACCATTCTTTTGCATTTTCAGTTGAATTTGGGCAAACCCGAATTGAAACATTTGTTGTGTTCAGCTATTTCAATTACTTTTGTTTGATTTGTCCATTGCAAACAGCTAAAAGTCTGTAAATTTTGCCAATAAAGCTGATTTGCAATGGGGGATGAATAATTTTGATTACAACTGTAAATGGTTAAGTCAAGAACCCTAGAAAAAACCCCCACTGAACAGTGTATTCTGGACACATGCCATGCACTGTTTTTAGGCAATTAATACTATCATAAAACCAATTCTAAAATGTACTTGCAACAAATGAAGAGAGGTTAAAGCTGATTAGTGTGCTTTTGAAACAGTTTTTGCTACAGTCTACCTCCAGCGTTTTAAACTAAACGGAAAGTCATCATAGCAATAATGCAACAATGGCGTTGATTCTAAAAATATACTGTATATGCAAAAGTAGAGCATGAAAAAAGGGTCAAGTGCAAAGACATAAATGATGTAAATTTAGTATTTTTAATCAGCCCTCCTTTCCTCATTCATGGCCAAAAGATTTAAAGATCACAGCTAATTGTGTAGACAATCACAGGAAAGCTTTTACAAACACCTTTTCTCTGACCAGCCAACAAGCTTTATTTAGAAAGCATCACTCTACTAGCAGATGTAATCTGATAAGCGTGATCTAGTGATTTCAGAATGAGAAACAGACTATAATGTACACAAAATTCAACCGTAATACAGTATCTGTTTAAGAGTGTGTTTAGCAATTCCACCTATGACCAGCAACAATAATGTTTACCTATATAATAATATATAGGTAAACATTATAATATAATATAATTAATTAGAAGCATGATTCATTTTGAATTACTTTACTGTAGTGTCAAATTGTGAACAAACTAGAAACGAGGCTGAATAGTGTATCAGCTGTTGATGTTAAAAATGGCTTTTCGTCACGTCATTCTTTCAACACTGACTTCATTCACATGTTTGTTGTCTGTAAACCTCCTCAATCTGTTTTCCCTCCTACCTTCCCATCTGTTGAAAGGAAGGATCTTAGCCTTAATCTGTTAAGATCAGTGGTCATACAACAATGTATCTTTTTCTGTAAGTTTAAATAAAACAATAGTTGGTCAGCTTCACTATATTGAGACTTACACATATGAGTTGAACTGATATTAGCAGCAAAAAATTAGTGGTTTCTTCTCTCTCAAATGGCTGTGAAACTCCCACCATCACTAATGTGATTACAAACAATTACGTCATTTGAGAATTAGCTGGGGAGAAATGCAGGGAGGGAGCTGGGTTTAAAAACATGTAGCTCAACAACTAAAGCTAAGCAGATGAGTTTGGACGTCAGGTTCCTTACATCAAATGATGTGCACCTGAAGAGTTTCACCAGACATCAGGTATGTTGGACCTTTATGCTAAATGTTTTTCTGTCATTATGTTCTACATAAGGAATTCAAGAGTTTATTGTAGTATTTTTATTTCTTATTTTTAGGCTATTATTTATTACATTGTTCGTTTATAAATTCTGTGCATTTGACCTAAGCATAAAATGCATATTTGTGTATTGTAAATATAGTAGAATGAGTGATTATTACATGTATATGTATGTTTTGCTCACCAAAAGCTGATTTAAAATAAAGTAATTTTGAGAAAATATTGTGAACGTTAAATTCCTGTTTTCTAGCCTATGTAAATACATTTTAACATGTATTAATGTCTATATAAATAAAGGCAATAAAAAAAATGCAAACACTTTATAAATATTTCTAGTGCCATATTGTTTTTTGTTGTTGTTGCAATTTTCCAGTGTTGTCTTCTATAAAACTGACTGGTCTATGTGAATTTTTTCTAGGTGTTAATACAGCCTGTAGCCAACTTACATTTATTCATTAGACTGGGTCATATGAAACTGGAATATCTGGAATACACTTCCTTACTGAAATATCCGTAATTTGAACTCTTGGACTTCAGTATTACCGAGTTTGATAGAGACTCAAAGGTATTGACGTTCATTACCACGTTTAAGAAGAGATGGACGCCGTGGTGAAGAAGTCTCTGGGTGCTCCTCTCCGACAGCTGACCAGCTGCTTTACGGGGAACCAGGATGGATTTAGCCGGAAAAGCAAGAGCGTGCGCCGGAAGAGCGCCCCCTGCTGCTACGGTCAGACAGCACATGACTCGTCCTGGTTAAGGACTTACCAGGCAGAACTTCACAGGGAAAGGTACAAAAATAAGCGTATACAATTATTAGACACTTAAATGGTCTGTATAAACCCAATAGCTTTAAAAATGTAATTGTTTATATTCTGTTTAAACAGGAAATTAAGGCAAGTCAAGTGTGCGCAGAAGAACGCAGAAAGAGCCGCAATGAGGATTCATCACAGAAGTCCACACCAATTCACAAAGGTACGGGTGTTCTGTCTGCCGCCACTTTAAACATATATTTGCCGGAATAGCGGAATATAGTGGCTTACCTTTAATACATGTATATTTTTCAGGCACCGGTTCAGAGGGCAAACCTAAAAAGCAAGACCGCCACCAAAAATGACAACTCTCTTTTTGGTGCCTTCCAAGGGCTCAGCCTCAGCATGAGTGGAGCTGGAGCACAAACATCAGCGAGTGCAGATCCATGTAAAGTCATGTGAAGACAGAAGAAAAACATTTCAAATGACTCTGATGGTGTTACATCTTATTATCCTTATCCAGTTTATTCCTGGTCACCAAGAAGAATTTACTGGAAAATGCTGGAAATAATAATAAATATCTCAATTCAAATAGGCTATTTGAGGTGAATTTATGACCTGCAGATGCTACATTCCAGGAATATAATCTGATTATGATATTTCATGATTATTATAGGTCATGAGACCTCATTGAAAATCAGGATTTAAAAACTAACTAAATTATAAAAAATATAATATAAAAATCTAAATAGGCTATAGGCCTAATCAAAACGTTGTTTTTTTTTAAAACATAAAATGATACCTACTATATATTTTTTAAAATTCTTAACTTTAGTCCCTTACTAAAATTTGAAAATAAATCTGATTTGTACATCTGAAGAATTTTCACTCGTGGTCTCAGACTCATATATGTGCACTCATGTATTTTATCCATGTTTCTAGTCCTTCTGAATGCTCAACTTCAGTCATGTACAGTAATTTCAAACTGTAAAATCATTTTGTTTCTCAAAAACTAAACAACTAAACCAGTTTATGACAGATTATGTTTCTTTACTTACATTTTTACAATAAAGATGATCTACATTTGATCATTTTGCAGATCATTTTCTAAATTTACCTCGATTTTGCAACATTTTCAGTTCACGTGTGTGAACACAAGGAACAAAATGGTGTTGTATTTACGTAAGAAAATGTAATTAGTGGCTACAGCACAACATTATCACAGTACGCACAGAGCTTTGAAGGACAGGATCCAGCACATTTGGCCATGTTCCCCACCTGTTTGTTGAAAGACTGTACATCAAAGGCGGTGTCTTTAATTATTTTCATCGTCCTCCTCTTGCTCGCCAAAGGTAAAGCATTTCACTTAAGCTTGGGCTCAGGAACATGATACTCGGCACTTTACAGGATTGAAAGTAGTCGAAACATGATACCATACACTGAATTTACTGAAGACCTGATGTGAGCAATGATAAGCCACTGCATGACATTGTGCAAGACCGGATGCACAATGCTGGGGTTAGTTGTCACACTTTATCTAGTGATTTTTTAAGTTTACTTTAAGTCAGTTACTAAACACATGTTTTCCACCCTGGAGGGAGGCATAATACAATTCAACAATATGCTGTCACACTGTATGGGGTAAGTTGTCACATATGGGAACCTGCAGTTTCACACTGATTTGAAATATGAAATATTATTTTAAATATAAAGGCCATATGGTTTTCAACCAAATTTAAACAGGAGCCTAAAACAATCAATGAAACTTCAGCAAAACTTAAATGGTAAATAAAATCAATGAAACTTCAAGAATGGAAAAGGTGACATGCAAAAATATCCAACCATTGTTTGGGCTAAAAAGACCAATTAAATCATTTAGAAAGTTACAACATGACAACTTACCCCATTAAAATGTGATGACATTCATGGTAAAATAGCTACTTGTCTGAATATATGCTACTGTGATTAAAACAATTTTTTATATAGGCCTATATTATAATATAATTTGGAGGATAAAATTTCTAATTTCGGAGGGTTTGAAACCCACAAACAAAAACACTATAGTGACAAGCCTTGTTGCGCAAACCCTTGTTGAACTTAACAAAGTTTTACAAGTTGAACTGAAACTAATTGAAAATTGGATTAGGGACAATAATATGGTGATTAATGCAGAGAAAAGTAAATGTATGGTGCTGGGATCCAAGTATTTGTTAAAAGATCCGCTTGTGTTGAGTCTGACTGTGGGGGGTATTGTGATAGAACAGGTTACGGAGGCAAAGCTACTCGGTGTGATTGTTGATAATTTGTTAAATTGGAATAGTCATATAAATCAAATATTATTGAAAATGGGCAGGAGTCTGGCAGTTGTTAAGCATTGTAGAAAATTTATTCCAAATCGAGTGATGAAAATATTAGTAGAATCCTTAGTTCTATCACATTTGGATTATTGTTCAATTATTTGGTCAAGTACAACTGAAATGAACTTAAGAAAATTGCAAGTTGCTCAAAATAAAGCAGCTCGGGTAGTTTTAAATTGCCCTTTTAGGACTAGTGTTAGAGACTTGAATACTAGTTTGGTTAAGTGTAAAAAGTAGGATTAATTATTGTATTGTTAATTTTGTTAGAAAAATTATTGTTACAAAAATGCCAGAAGTATTATACAGCAGACTGTCTTTTTTTAGTGCTATGCATCAATATTCCACTCGTCAGTCAACAGAGAGTCGCTATTTGTTACCTTCGTGTCGAACTAACCTTATACAAAGGACGGTGCTGTATAGAGCAATGGTGGCATGGAATTCTCTTCCGCAGTTTTTGATTTTGGGAATGAATGCTATGAATTTTCGTAAAAGATTAAGACTTTATTTATTTACATTTGAATAATTGTTATTATTTATATGTGGTACTTTATTTAATTATTAACCCTATAGTAGTATTGCTGTAACTGTGTACTGTGATAATGCATATTGTAGAGCTGTCGTTTTGTTGTTTTATTGTTTTTTCTTTTAGTACGTTGTTGTATGGTTATGTAAGAATGTGTACACTCCATTTTTGTCTATATAATGTACGGTTTTATGTTATACGAATATTTTTTTGTTGTTGAAGTCTATAGACCCCAGGAAGAATAGCTACTGCTTTTGCAGTAGCTAATGGGGATCTTAATAAACTAAACTAAACTAAACAAAACATTTTTTTTAAATTGTATCCTAAATAAATATATAAAGATTACACAAAAAAATTATAATATATTTGAAATAAATAATGTAATTTATTGCTAATGAAAACTTAAAATATATATTTAAAATTTTGTATAATGTTTTAAATAATGAATTAACAAATAAACAAATACATAGCCTACTACATATAGGCTACATCTTAAAGGAATAGTTCACCCAAAAATGAAATAAATTAATTCATTAATTAGGCAACTCACCCTCAGTCGTTCCAAACCTGTAAAACCTTTGTTCATTTTCGGAACACAAATGAAGATATTTTGATGAAATCAGAGCTTTCTGACCTCTCCATAGCAAGACCACTTTCAAGGCCTAGAAGGTTAGTAAATACATTGTCAAAATAGTCTATGTGACTACAGTAGTTAAACCTTAATGTTATGAAGCGATGAGAATACTTTGTGTGCGCAAAAACAAAAATAACGACTTTATTCAACAATTTCTTATCTTCCATGTCAGTCTCTGACTTTGTACACGTTGTAAACACAGTGCAGCGCTTCTGTTCTGTCAGAACGCCGGCCGCCGGTGTGGTGAAGAGATGAGTCCACCTTAGAAACGAGGTCGTACCTTAGCAGGTAGTCTAGCAGTTTCCTGCCATCAAGTAATATATTTATTTGTATAGCGCTTTTCACAGTACACACAGCTTTACAGAAAGACAGGCAACCTTGGGACTCATCTCTACAGGGGACTCATCTCTTCACCACACGCATGCGTCGAGATACTCACGTGAACTGTCTATGTCTGACATGGAAGAGAAGAAATTGTTGAATAAAGTAGTTTTTTTTTTTTGCGCACAAAAAGTATTCTCGTCGCTTTATAACATTAAAGTTAAACCACTGTAGTCACATGGAGAGTCAGAAAGCTCTCGGATTTCATCAAAAACGACATGAGGGTGGGTAGCGTAATTAATGGCAGAAATGTCTTTTTTTTTTTTGCGTGAACTAACCCTTTAAATTAGTTTATCCCTTAAATATACTGTACATTTATGCACACACGTAGAATGTATTTCTAAAGTTCCCATCAGCCTCAGGTAAATACATCTGTGAGCCTCCAGCGTATTCCGTGTCCTCTAGCACAGGTTGGCCCCGCCTATTTCCTCCCCAGCTGGGCCGCTGAGTAGTGACGCTCTGTACCCTACCTGTTCACCCAGACAGCTTGTTGAACAGATAACACGCAGGTGTCAGCAGAGAGGGAGATAAAGACAGCGGCTGCTATCAAGAAGCCGATTATATACTCAAACATCTGCGGGTTTCATCCCGTTCTTTATGTAATAACTAACGCGTGATTAGATGACAAGACAACCCGCGCGCTCATTCTGAGGAGGTTTCGCCAGCGCGCGAGATGTTATATGTATGGAAAGTTGATACAGGGGAATAATATTGACAATAATTGCACTTATTCCCAGAGGAGCTTTCCAAGGGCGGATGCATTACGCAGTGAGGAACGTCTGGATTCTCCTTGGAAGTTTTTGGATCACGCGAGAGTCCGATTGTACTGGTAAACTTGCAGTGAATACATATACATGTTTGAAATTGCTAGTGGAGACCTGTACTGCTTTGTCTAAACGTATATTAATTGAGAAAAAAAAAAAGAGTAGTATTAAGAAGTGTTAAAATCACATTTAGACCTTTTCATATTGAAAACTTGAGGTTTTGTAAGTAAACCTTACATGCTTTACAGGTACAAAAGGATTCTGTATTTGGGAAAGTGTGATGTCTTCATTCTGTATTTGAGATTCTGCTCAATTTATCTGCCAAATTAGTCATCAACCTGAACCTGCATTAACATCAGATCTGACATGGACGGTGAATACGGACAGCCTCCGGCTTCAAATGGTGACTCGAAGCTCCGCTCCAGAGGTGCCTTCTCCCTAACCAACTGGCGTTCCTCTTCGAGGACTTTATTGCAAGGAGGAGAGGATGTGAGCAGAAGGCTGCTGTCCATTGCGAACCACCAACAGGAACGGACAGACTCGGGGGCCAGTCCCACGTCAAAGTCCCTTGAGGTGACTGCAGGGTTAGATGGCACAACAGCAACGACCACCGTGACCCCCTCCACTCCACCTCGCCCCAACAAAGCCATGGCAGAGTCAGCGGGGCCTTCGGAAGCCCCTCTGCCATCCGAATCAGAGGAAAGGGTCTTCGATGACCAATCCACATTCCTCCAGAGACAGTTCGGAGGCATGCTGCTGCCAGGGGTCAACAAGTTCTCGCTGCGGATGTTTGGGAGTGCGAAGGGTGTCGCTGCCGAGCAAGAAAGGATCAAGGCATTTGGGGTGTGGATTATACATCCATATAGTGACTTCAGGTGAGTGACGCAGGGGAAAGGGAAAATATGACTTGGCAGAACGTCAAACAAGGATAGTGTTGTTGTGACTGTAAAAACAATTCTTAGATCAAGTAAATGACCAAGTTTACTTGATTTTAGTAGTTTAAGTTCACTTAATATTCTCAAGACAATTCTTTTCCACTTTTTAAAAAAAAGATGTTGGTTTGACTTTAAAACAACAGTCATTGCAAAAGAGTTGTATTTTTTTCCCAGTTCAAATATGCTTACTCTTAAAAATTGCCTAGTGGTTCTGACCCGTTTGTTCTCTCCCCAGCATGCACTGGGGCGTGAATAATTAAGCTAGTTTTATTTTACAGCTTACAGTTGATTTAGCTGTTACTTTTTGTTGCTTGTTATCTTGTTTGTTCCTAAAATGATCGGTTGATTAGGCTATACCCTTGTCAAGTTTCGTATACCAACTGTTGAGGTTTGTGGCATTTAAGGTATTCGAGTGTTTTTTTCATTCTGAGTACTACTGATGTAGTCAGTTTTGTTCTTCAAGTGTTATTTTAGTATCATTAATATAATAGCATAGTACTAATTTATATTTGGAATAACTTTTTAATATACTTTGTTTTCATTTTAGTAAAATTTTAATTGTATTGTGTTTTTATTTGTGTTTTATTCGTTTTTAAAAATATTTATATTTGGTTTTTAATCATTTTTATTTTATTTTTTAGTAATTTTAGTAGAATTTAAACCAAGTGAAAAGTAGAAATGCTTTCTTGGCTACTAGCCGAAATAAAATATATTTTTATGGATTTTTTTTTTTTCAGTTAACGTAAATGTTTTTTTATTATATTTTTTTGTTAATGATAACAATACTGCTCCATGGACCATGTACATTTCTCATAGAAAACGAGATGAACCACATAATTGTGAATAAAGTTACACCAAGGACGATAACTAGGCCTATAACAACTGACAAAGATATAGTTCTTAAAATTGTTCTAAGTATTAGCATTATAAGAATTGCAGAGTCCACACCACAACTATAATGATGACACAGAGAAATGATATAGTTGGAATCAAACTTTTGAACTTTTTTCAGTGCAAAATCTTTAGTTAATATAAACTGGTATAAACTAGTTATTGTTACTGGTACAGTTAAGGGTGGACTATTTTGACTTGGTCAACAACTCAGAACAGCGCAACCAGATAGTGAGGTCTGGCAACCACCCTAGCACCATCTGGATGACTTTTTCAAAACCAAACACCACTCACATTTTCTTTAGATAGTGTAAAAAAAAAATCATAGAATTTATTTTCATTAGGATGGTTAATAAACACTGATGAGCCAAAACATTATGACCAGTCACAGGTGAAGCGAATATCTTTGATCATCTCTTAACAAAGCCACATATTAAGGTCTGGGTAGATTAGATGGTAAACAATCAGTTCTCGTAATCAGCGTGTGTTGGATGCAGGAGAAATGGACAAGAATATAGATCTGAGTGACTTTAGCAAGGGCCAGATTGTTATGGCAAGGCGACTGGTTGCTCCCGGTCAGCGGTGGTGAGATTTACCAACGAGGAGGGACAGACCACAAATCGGTGACAGGGTGTTGGCTGCCCAAGGCTAATCGATGCACGAGGGCAGCGAAGGCTATCCCGTCTGGTCCGAGCCAACAGAAGGTCTACTGTGGCACAAGTCACACAAAATTGTTAATGATTGTTATGGGAGGAATGTGCACAACACAGTGCATATGATGACCCCTGTCCACCAACATGGCTCTGGCACATGAGTGTCGGAACTGGACCTTTGTGCAGTGGAAGAAGGTGGCCTGGTCCAATGAGTCCGGTTTTCTTTTACATCATGTGGAAAGCCGTGTACTTGTGCAATGTTTACCTGGGGAAGTGATGCCACAAGGATGCACTGCGGGGGGATGACAAGCCGGTAAAGGGAGTGTGATGCTCTGGGCAATGTTCTGCTGGGAAACCCTGGGTCCGTGTGGACATACATGTGGACGTCAATTTGACTCTGTGACGAACAGACAGGGAGGATGCAATAATGCAGGTAAAGGGTATTTATTGGAAATACACAGATGGTCAGATGTAAACTGAACACACAAACACAGTGGCTGCAGGATGGCGGTGGACAGACACGGTGGTGATGATGGTGAGGCTGAAGGATGGTCCGTGAAGTTCCAGGTGAGAGAAGTAATCCACAAGGAAGCGATGAACACAAAGATATCCAGACACAGAACACCAACCACGAACACAGCAGGCAGAACGGGAAACAACACCGGAATAATCCACAACGATCTGACAAAGACAAGACGAAAACTGTGAGCATAAGTAGGCACCGCTGATCAGATGCAGCTGGCGCCGCTGATCAGCGGGAGTGATCAGTGACCACGCCCACACACACACACACACACAATAATAATCACACGAGACGAGAAAGAGACAGTGAATTCAAGAACCGTGACAGACACGTGCCACCTACCTTGTTGCAGACCAGGTACATGCCTTCATGACAATGGTGTTCCCTGGTGGGAACACCATCTTTGAGCAGGATAAAGCACCCTGCCACACATTGTTCAAGAATGGTTTGAGGAACAGGATGAAGAGTTTAAGGTGTTGTCCTGGCCTCCAAATTCCCCAGATCTCAAAGAAACTTAGCAGCTGTGGGATGTGCTGGACCAACAAGTTCGCTCCACCTCGCAACTTACAGGACTTGAAGGATCTGCTGCTAATGTCTTGGTGCCAGAAACCACAGGACTCCTTCATGGCTCTTGTAGAGTCCATGCCTCAACGGGCCGACACTGGTTTGGCAGCACGAGGAGGACCAACAGTACATTAGGCAGGTGGTCTTTTTTTTTTGTGGCTCATTGGTCTATAACAATAGTGAATGGCTGTGATGTGAGAAAACAACTCAACTTAACTTTCATTGCTATCAATAATCATACAATGTCAACAAGCACTTTTGCCACAAATCAGGTCCTAAAAGCACGTACATTTCAATCACCACATTAAAGCACAATGCTACACAGGTCAGTTACAGCGCTTTCCCTTATAGAGTTACCATTAGCCAGAAATGCTATCATTGTTAAAGGATGGGTTGGAAGGTCCCACTTGGTTACAGAGTGTCAGGTTAATGCTCTTTGTCTGAAACACGTACGCAGAGAAAGCAGCAATATGTCAGGATAAATGGATTATGTTTTCTGAAAGCAAGATATGATCGGTAATAGGAACTCAATCTCCAGACCAGTCCAAAGCGAAAAATATGGGTGCGCAAGTAGGGGATCAAAACCAACATTTTGAATCATTAATACAATTTAATGATACACTAGAATCACCAGTTACATTACTGTTTTTATTTATTTATTTAATTTGTTTAATGTGCCAAAATATTCCTTTTAGCTACAGTAAAACAAACCCTTGAGCCTCTTGAATTACTCCGTCTTATCAACATAGATCAAATGCATTTTTAATGCATCCTGGCCCAGTACTGTTAATTACTTCAACTCCATACTTACTGATAACATTGAACATTAATTTTTTAAACTGGGACACTTAAACATGGGAAAATTTTAAAATATGATAAAGGTCAGAAGTATCACAACTTGAATTACCTACAATACTACTACAAGAACAACATTTCCAACATTTTTTTCGGGGTTGGGGTTTCAGGTTGATGGCAGTACTGATATTTAGAGTGATAATACAATTTAATAGTAAATAGGATGACTAAAATGATACTGATTCACTGAATATTTTTCATTGTTTGCTTGTTTTTGATAGATTTAGCAGATTTGTCATGTTTTTATTTTCTCTTCCTCATTTTACACAAGACATATTCGTGACACTTTACAATAAGGTTTCATTAGTTAACATTATGTAACTACTTTAGTTAAAATGAATTAATAATGAACAATAATTCTACAGCATTTATCTAAATTAATGTAAATTTCAACACTTACTAATACATTATTAAAATCAAAAGTTGTATTTGTTTAGTTAATGCATTAGTTAATGCACTGTGAACTAACTTGAACAAACAATGAACAGCTGTATTTTTTAAACTAACATTAACAAAAATGAATAAGTACTGTAACAAATGTTTTGTTCATTGTTAGTTCATGTTAGTTAATACATTAACTCATGTTAACTAATGAAATCTTATTGTAAAGCGTTACCGAAATATCATATACTGGATACCTTTTGATCAAAGCTGTTCCTTTAAGTGCGATGCGAACCCATTGCTCATGTCAATAGTTGTCATCATTGGAGTTGTCTGATACTGATAAAACAACCTCCAATTTGTTAACTGTTGCTTTCATTCTCACACGAGTCAAATGACAACCATAAGATATAAAAATATATTTAACTTTTTAAAAACTGTTTTCAAGTACCCACTCATTCCAGGTGACTGACGCTGCTTTGGAAAATATGACCACATGTGGAAACTTCAAACCACCAAGCATATGTACGGTAGTCCGCAAAAGAGTGCATATCCAGTTTAAACAGTCACATACTGTACAGTATGTTCATGATTCTCCATTACCTCTTTAGTAATTAACATGGAGAGGAATGCTTTGCAACACGTGTTATTGACGTAATTTGCCTGTTTGCTCAAGGTCGGTAAAGGTTCTATATAGAACCTAGAAGGGTTAGAAGCAAAAAACATAGAAGGATTAGGGTTAAAAACATAGAAGGGTTCTGTTAGGCATATATATAACTATTCAGGTGTTCCCATCATGGGATCATTGTATGGATTTAGTTTCAATTCATTTTTAATTTTTATGAAATTTTATGAGTTAAACAGCTCGGAAACATACTTTATCACTAATTGAATAACCTGTTTAACCTTTCATTTCTCCTTATATAGAATCTTTATGGCATAAATCATTCTTTAAAACTGAGTCAAGAACCCTAGGGTTTTAGGTAAAACCCCATTGAACCTTTTTCTAAGTGTGTAGATACTTATTTGAATGAATGGCTCATTTTGTACTTGTAATTTTAACCTTTTTGTCCATAATAGATTACCAGGTGTGCTTTACAGAGTGACATATTTGTTTCTTAGAAAATAATCTTTTATTTATCTGCAAATGTCTGGGGCTGGTTGAATTTTTTTCCACGAAACATGGGACGTCGCTATAGGACGGCGTCTTAAGTTACAGAGACAGTCACCGTATAGCACCCTGAAGGACCGCTCTAGTAACCTTCAGGTTTCCAGCCTAGACCTTTAAACCATATAGGTCTTTAATTAATTTATTAATGAATTAATAATTCAATATTTAATATCATTCAGACTATATATATATATAGTCTGACTGATATTGAATATTTAATTATTATGGTACAATGATATTCATATTGATAAAGATACTTAATTGTTTGCTATTTTCCCCTATTTTTACATTTAGAATACCATTACTTTCATCTGTTCATTTATAATGTTCATCTGTTCATACATACTGCTCATTTAAGTTAATCTCTAAAAACACTAATACCTTAGTAACACTGATTTTTGTTTTTAGTGTTTCATTTTTCAATTTATTTAGATAAAGTATTGCAGACTTTTAATATTGGCTATGTATCAGTTATTAAAAAAATTGTCAGCTTATCAATTGTTGTTTTATTAGTGCATCCTTTCATTTGAATTACATTTGGTTGTAGTTATGCATTTTAATATACATACTCCAGGCAGAATCCATCCTTTGTTCCTTACATCATCCATCTTCACACACAGGTTCTATTGGGACTTGGTTATGCTTTGCCTGATGATGGGCAACCTCATCATTCTTCCATGGGGTATCACCTTCTTTGAGGATCAGAACACGCCGCCGTGGATCACCTTCAACGTGGCCTCTGACACCCTCTTCCTGGCTGACCTCATCTTCAACTTTCGTACCGGCATAATGGAAGAAGAAAACTCCCAAATCATCCTGGACCCGCAAGTGATCAGTCGGCGTTACCTGCGAGGCTGGTTTACGATAGACTTCATCTCCTCTATTCCGGTGGACTACATCTTCCTGGTGGTGGATATAGAGTCCCGGCTTGAGTCGGCAGAGGTGTACCGCACCGCCAGGGCACTGCGTATCGTCCGCTTCACCAAGATCCTCAGCCTGCTCAGATTGTTGCGCTTGTCCAGATTAATACGTTACATTCATCAGTGGGAAGAGGTGAGTGAAGGAGCAGGGAGAGAAACAGATAGAGGAAATCAAGACAAGGATAGAAAGGAAAGAAATCTAGTTGGAGGAAATGTGACAATTCTGACTTTTTCCTAAGGGAAATATTTAAATGCACTATGCTGCTGATATTTTTAGAATGACCGTTAGCTTATGTTTTTCTTTCAAGTTTTGGTCAGATCATCTTTTATGTAATAACTTGCTCCATCTCAGAAATGGCTTTTCATTTTGGTTCCTCCAACCATTTCCAAACTTCCATAATCAGTCTCAGTCTCTTCTCTAGCATTTTTACATTACCTTTGCTAAAGTTAATTCATAGATAGCCTTTAAAAACAATAATTTAATAACTGTTAAATGCATTATCTCAAGATTAATATACATTTTTTTTAACTAATGTTGTAATAATAATTCCGCTTAAGTTTCCGGTGAGTTTCTACTTGTCGCATTTAAAATGATTGATGTTTGTCTTTAGTGCTTTATAATTTATTTTTAAAACCTGCCATTTATCAGCCATAGCATAAAAATAATTAGAAGAAAAAGGCCTGTAGTCAAGCGATGTATGAAGCACAGATCACACAAAAGTCACTTTTTTAAACCAAGCAGCTTTTTTGGGCAAATTTGTGTGACCAACTTGAACTCACTTGTACTATCTCTCACCTTTTTTTTTATTTTATACAGATCTTCCATATGACCTATGACCTAGCAAGCGCAGTGGTTCGCATAGTGAATCTGATTGGAATGATGCTGCTGCTGTGTCACTGGGATGGCTGCATGCAGTTCATGGTGCCCATGTTGCAAGACTTCCCAGCAAACTGCTGGGTCTCCAAAAACAACATGGTGGTATGAGGTTGTTTTACGTTTTAGGTTTAGGTATGTTTGAGGTTGTTGGGGAATGTCTCAAAAATGTGCTAGTTTGTTAGGAAATGCAGAAAAAGCACATCTACTCCCTAAAGTCCTAAAGCGTTAAGGGTGTGTTCACACTTGTAGTTACCGTAAGTTCTTTTGGTCCGAACCAAAAAAGAAAATGATGCATTTAGTTCTGTTTCACTAAGCATTCATACAGTCATTTTTAACACCGAACCTAAAGATACAAAGCAAAAACAGCTTTAATGCCACGTATATTTTGCGACGGAACTTACCGAAGATCCTAAACAATGCTGTGTGCTGGGCTAAATGAACACTCTTTATATATATATATATATATATATATATATATATAGTAAAATAAAACCTGTAACTGTAGTTTGCCTTTTTTTGCCAAATAATTTTGTCAGATTTTTTGCATGGAAGCTTGTTTCCACCACTGAATAATAATAAAAAAGGTAATTGCAAGTTTATATCTCACAATTCTGACTTTATAAATCGCAATTGCGAGTTTTTATATCACGCAATTCTGACTTTATAACTAGTTAACTAATAATAATAATAATAACTAATAATAATTAGTTTCCTAGTTCTATAGTTTTGTTCTTCCCCCATATTTAAAATATGAAAAAAATATATTTTCCTCACACCGGTATTTTGATGGTGTAATTCAACAGGGTCATTAAAAACAAAGATCCTTTCTGGGCATCACTTTTGGCCACTACTGTATGCTGGTATTTTTACCAAAAACAAGTCAGAACGGTGCCAAAAATTCCTCCGTTGCTCACACACAAATGAAGATCTGCTGCAAGTACCGAACTGTAAAAGGCAACGTAGCTCCTATGACGAGAAGAGCCAGCTATGCGTGAGCATTCTGCCCTTTTAGGGTCGGACCTTGTGACATCACATCCTGTTTTTAGGTTCTTTTAGATGTCTTTGGTCCGTGATGCGTTTATATTTCAGTCAAAGTTCTGAGTTCATTTGGAAGCTACCGAGACCCAATGAAAAGGTCTCCATCCGCTTGTTTGGTGCACCCAGCGTTCACACACTTCGTCAAATCAACCGCACTAACCGAGTAATCACACAAGAGTTCGTTTTAATCGAACCAAAACTGTGTGAACACACCCTAAATTTTGCTTCAAATTTACGTACTATCAATATATCTTTCTCTGTCAGAATTCCACTTGGGACGTCCAATACTCCTATGCCCTTTTTATGTCCATGAGCCACATGCTGTGTATTGGGTATGGTGCTCAGGCTCCTGATGGACCAACTGACGTCTGGCTCACGATGATCAGCATGATTATTGGCGCCACCTGCTACGCCATGTTCTTGGGCAATGCCACCAACCTGGTCCAGTCCTTGGATGCTTCCCATCGTCAGTATCAAGAGAAGGTACTAGTTGCTCAGTAATTATTTTTTTAACATATTTGAGACTAACTTTTTTTTTTTTTGTGAACAATTTGGTTGTCTGGTTTGTTACAGTATAAGCAGGTGGAACAGTACATGTCCTTCCACAAGCTGCCAGCTGACATGAGGCAGAGGATCCATGATTATTATGAGCACCGCTTCCAGGGCAAGATGTTTGATGAGGAAAATATCCTCGGAGAACTCAGTGACCCGCTAAAAGAGGTTTTTCTTATGCTTTTTCTTTCCTTTTTGGTTGACATCTCCAAGGCTGTGTGGGCTATTGTTAACTGATAGCCAATATAACTATTTAGACATTGAGTCTCATTCATTAACAGTGTTTACGTGCTTATTTATGCATAAAACCTGTGTCTGCATGCAAACATTTTCATACGCAAATCATGATTTATCACTAAGATTCATTCTAAATTTATGTCGAAATTTAGAACCAACTGCAACTAGACATACACAAAAACTACATACAGTGGCATTAGAAAAATATTATTTAAGTCAGTTTTTAAAAATATATATTATTTGAAAAAAAGAAGAATATATTGGGTAGCCTTTCTAAAATCTTACCAAAAGTTTAATAGTAAATCATGTTGTTGCGAGCTGAATACCCTGTTTCACTTTGAAATGTCACATTGTGTCCCATTATTGTCTATTTTGTTTCTCAAACATAATCCATTTTATCATCTCTTAGCATGTGTCAATTAAATTGGACAAATCCATGTACTGCTTATGTGCTGATGTGTGTTAATTGGGATGGATTAAATGGCTAATCCATCTTGTATTGTGTGTTTTACCTGCAGGAGATAGTGAACTTTAACTGCCGTGGGCTGGTAGCTAACATGCCACTGTTCGCAAATGCAGATCCTCACTTTGTCACAGTGCTCCTCACAAAGTTACGCTTCGAGGTCTTTCAGCCGGGCGATATGGTCATCCGTGAAGGGACGCTCGGTCGTAAAATGTACTTCATCCAGCATGGCTGTGTCAGTGTAATCACTCATGACAATAAAGAGAAGAGACTGAATGATGGCTGCTACTTCGGTGGTGAGTTAGATTTTTCCTTAGATGCTTTTAAGTCAAGTAAAATGTATTTGTTTAGCGCTTTTCACAATACACATTGTTTCAAAGCAGCTTTACAGAGAATCATGATGTTAATGTTTACAATATCTCAATATCTTCATGCCTTATAGTCACATTAAACAAGATTAGCATGGAAGCATGTTTTCCACCATGGAAATATAAATAAGGTAATTGCGAGTTTATATCTCGCAATTCGGACTTAATAACTTACAATTCTGACTTCCATAGATTAGAGCTGGGCAATAATATAGTTTATGCTTTGTAACAATGCAAGAATTCAAGCAGTTGAGATTTGATATATACTATATTTCGCTTTACGCGAGTATATGTATGCAGATAAAGCTAGACATTGGACATACTTACAGGTCCTTCTCAAAAAATTAGCATATTGTGATAAAGTTCATTATTTTCCATAATGTAATGATAAAAATTAAACTTTCATATATTTTAGATTAATTGCACACCAACTGAAATATTTCAGGTCTTTTATTGTTTTAATACTGAGGATTTTGGCATACAGCTCATGAAAACCCAAAATTCCTATCTCAAAAAATTAGCATATCATGAAAAGGGTCTCTAAACGAGCTATTAACCTAATCATCTGAATCAACTAATTAACTCTAAACAACTGCAAAAGATTCCTGAGGCTTTTAAAAACTCCCAGCCTGTTTCATTACTCAAAACCGCAATCATGGGTAAGACTGCCGACCTGACTGCTGTCCAGAAGGCCATCATTGACACCCTCAAGCAAGAGGGTAAGACAGAAAGAAATTTCTGAACAAATAGGCTGTTCCCAGAGTGCTGTATCAAGGTACCTCAGTGGGAAGTCTGTGGGAAGGAAAAAGTGTGACAAAAAACGCTGCACAACGAGAAGAGGTGACCGGACCCTGAGGAAGATTGTGGAGAAGGACCGATTCCAGACCTTGGGGGACCTGCGGAAGCAGTGGACTGAGTCTGGAGTAGAAACATCCAGAGCCACCGTGCACAGGCGTGTGCAGGAAATGGGCTACAGGTGCCGCATTCCCCAGGTCAAGCCACTTTTGAACCAGAAACAGCGGCAGAAGCGCTTGACCTGGGCTACAGAGAAGCAGCACTGCACTGTTGCTCAGTTTTGCATGTCATTCGGAAATCAAGGTGCCAGAGTCTGGAGGAAGACTGGGGAGAAGGAAATGCCAAAATGCCTGAAGTCCAGTGTCAAGTACCCACAGTCAGTGATGGTCTGGGGTGCCATGTCAGCTGCTGGTGTTGGTGCACTGTGTTTTATCAAGGGCAGGGTCAATGCAGCTAGCTATCAGGAGATTTTGGAGCATTTCATGCTTCCATCTGCTGAAAAGCTTTATGGAGATGAAGATTTAATTTTTCAGCACGACCTGGCACCTGCTCACAGTGCCAAAACCACTGGTAAATGGTTTACTGACCATGGTATTACTGTGCTCAATTGGCCTACCAGCTCTCCTGACCTGAACCCCAAAGAGGATCTGTGGGATATCGTGAAGAGAAAGTTGAGAGACGCAAGACCCAACACTCTGGATGAGCTTAAGGCCGCTATCGAAGCATCCTGGGCCTCCATAACACCTCAGCAGTGCCACAGGCTGATTGCCTCCATGCCACGCCGCATTGAAGCAGTCATTTCTGCAAAAGGATTCCCGACCAAGTATTGACTATCGAGTGCATAACTGAACATAATTATTTGAAGGTTGACTTTTTTTTTTTTGTATTAAAAACACTTATTTTATTGGTCGGATGAAATATGCAAATTTTTTGAGACAGGAATTTTGGGTTTTCATGAGCTGTATGCCAAAATCATCAGTATTAAAACAATAAAAGACCTGAAATATTTCAGTTGGTGTGCAATGAATCTAAAATATATGAAAGTTTAATTTTTATCATTACATTATGGAAAATAATGAACTTTATCACAATATGCTAATTTTTTTAGAAGGACCTGTATATTTAAATTTATATATGTGTGTGTATATACATCTATGTGTAAGGGATAATCCAACGCTAGCTGTGCATTAACCGATTGCCTCCACGAAGTGCATTTAAATAGTTTAATGCACAGTTAGCCGTGGATTATCCCGCTTATATCATGGTCATTTGCCAGCATTGAAAACTTAAAGCTGTTATTGATGTTTACTGGAAGCCGAGGGTAAAACTGACGGTTATTTCCGTCGGTTGAGGCTCATTAGATCTAGCACTATGCCTGCTTTGAATCAGACAAAAGAGATAAAGTAGTGCGTAAGATTACATGTATTTGAATGAATGAATTATAGCATTCATATGAATTAATAATTGAGAGAGAGAGAGAGAGAGAGAGAGAGAGAGATAGTTGCATACCTGCGTCTGTTCAGCACCTCTCTTGTCTATTAACAACAAAGCTATGACTTGAATTACGACAAAAAATGCGATGTATCCCCCTCCTTGCTGAGAAATATAATGTAGCGATTCAGTAGCGAAGCTATTTTATTACTAAAAGTCGCCGGGCAGCGTTGATAAGTTTCTGTGCTCCTGAATGTTTCTGTGTGTGAGTGACGTATGCGTGTGTGCGCTTCAATGAAAACAGCGCATTAATAGAACGGTGATTCAACTGACTTGGAACCGAGTTTGGTTTTATTGCAAACCTTCCAGCCAATCAGAATCGAGTATTCAGACAGACCATGGTGTATATATACTGTATGTTAATAGCGCAATATGCATTAGGCTTTGATATAAATCAGATTTGAGCTAAATCTAAATTTGTTCTGTTCCTCTTCTTTTTTAGAGATATGTCTACTGACCCGTGGCCGTCGTACAGCCAGCGTCAGAGCCGAAACATACTGCAGACTTTACTCGCTCAGTGTGGACAGCTTTAATGAGGTTTTAGAGGAGAACCCATTAATGAGGAGGGCGTTTGAGAGCGTGGCGGTGGACCGGCTGGACCGTGAGGGAAACCGCATTGTGTATTCACAAAAGAGCATGGAGAATGTTGGGGAATGACGGATTCTTTGCGTGAACTCTCTCTTGATGAATTCTGACTGACCGAAGACTCACTGAAGATGGATGAATGTAGAAAAAAACATGGAGGAAAGTGTTACAGTGTCCACATAATTGACATTAATGACAATGTACAGTTGCAGTATGGTGTGATTAATCTACTTAAAATAGTTATTTCCTATTCTTACTTTGACAATGCAATGTAAAAATTATCAATATCAGTCCTGTAGTTCTAATCATGTTTAGCTGACTATTGATATACTGGATCTATGTAATTCATTTTCAGTCAGAACCCATTAGTTTAGCAGGAACCTTGATCAATGTGATGATAAATCAATATGCAACAATATATTGTAATTCAATTTAATTAACAATACAATGAAATGAGGATAGCATAAAACATAATCTAACATTACAACTGTTTATTTATTTTTTACACTCTTAGAAAAAAAGGGTCCTTATATAGAACCCTAGGGATCCTGACTCAATTTTAAAGAGCGCTTTATACCAAAAAGGTTCAATATAAGGAGAAATGTCTTAAATTATTGCATAATGCTTTCATATTTAATGGGTTATTTCACATTTTCTTGTAATAAAGTATGTTTACAATTCATCAAATTTTATCAAAATAAAAATTGTATGTAAAAATGAATGAATTCAAACAAAATCCATAAAATGACGGGAACCCCAAAAAGGTTCTATTTATGAAGTGCCCGACAGAACCCTGTAAGGTTCTATAGAGAACCTTTTCTTCTGAGAGTGTAGTTTCAAGTAATAGCAGCCTTTAGTCAGGGAATTGCTCCATGTAAATTTTGTATTTTGCAAAACATCTCCAAGGCGGTATTTCATATGTTTACTCAGTTTACTCATTAATCTTGTTGTCTTTGACATTGGTTTCAGTCATAACCTCCAGTGAGCGTGATTTCACCAAGTACAACATGTTCCTGGATCAACATTCCAACTATCAGGGTTAGGTGCTTCTAACATCAGTGTTACTCGCCTACATCATTTCTCTATGATTTTAGGGATAAGTTATAGGACGAGTTAACGTTTAGGGTTAGGATTACATTTTCAGACAGGAATGTTGTTCCAGGATCAACAAATTATGTTGATCCAGGAACATGTCTGTCTTGGCAAAATCACAGTGACCCCATGTATCAAGTTAAACCAATCAAAAAAAGTTGAAAATAATTTTTTCGATTAGATGTTCAACAATACAATAATAACTCAAACTTAACTGAATTCTATCTGCTTTCCGGATCAACATTGAGCACTTAAGAATCATGCACTGTAACAAAAGATGTCAACTGAAAGACTTTGCTATAAGCTGGGACATCCTGTCCACTGTCTTCTTAGCGTCATATTAAAGTATTAAACAATATTAGTCACATAATCGCTGATTAAACTCATTTCCGTTTGGCTTGCTGAGTCCTTGAGATGTGCTTTTGAGGAAACTATTTACCCAGGAGAAAATATTCATTTTAAATCAAATTTTGTTTGTAACATTTCTACTATTCTCTGTGGTTGTAAATAAAAATATATATTTTGTCCCACGTACAGTGGCGGATCTAGAAAATTTTATATGGGGGGGCAAAGGGGTGGCAAGAGGTCTTGGCAGGGTGGCAGGGGTAGACGGTACATGGGAATCCCTATATGTGAATTGCTTTAACAAAACAAACACAAAAACACTTTTAATCATTATTAAATGATTAACGTTATTGTTTAATCATGCCCTTACACACTACAAAGGTTTTTAGGAATGATTTATTAACAAATCCCTCTGAAAATATCTTCAGAATACTGCTAAGTGTATAACTGGAAAGTTTGGTGTACATAGGTGCTACACAGGCTGAGATGTTTGTACTGGAGAATGACAAAAAACTAATTTTGAGAAAACAGCATTTAAAGATTTGTAATGTAAAAAATCATACTTTTTTTAGTGGAAACAACTATTTACAGACACAATATCTTATCAAATCATTAGCAACAACAATACAAACCACCTAAATCACAGCATTTATGGCCTTCAACTGAACAGAAAAACAGTCAAAAACGCATATCTAAATGTCAGAGCACGTCACATGATGCATCTGAACGAATCACGTTGTCAGAAATTGACATCAGCCAATGAGATTTCGGTTTTAGAGTTAAATGCCCATTGTACTTTCACGATTGGTTGCTGATTAAAAGGAAATGACCATATTTGGATACGACAACAATGTACAGGAGAGAGAGCTTTCCAACAGAGATGTATGTGATGACATTGACATGCAGCGATCGTGGAGCAGCATGTTGATTTAACGACAACTTTTGTTGAATTTAGGAGAAATCTACTGACGCAAATAGACAAAGTGTAGTAAAATAAAGTCCTAAATGTGTTTTTTTGGAAAAAAAATTTCACCACAAGTCTGAAAGAAGACATGTTATTGAAGACAAATAGCCCAAAATCTTCAAATTAACCAGTGAAAAAACCCCGGATGTTTTTGTGTCTCGCCTTAAGCTGTTCTTGTCTTTACTAAAATCAAAATTAGGCTAATCAAAGGGAAGAGTGCTCTTACAAATCACGAGGGAGCGAATTGACCGCTGATTTTGCTGATGCTGAATCGTCTTTAGTATACAATACATTCATTACAAATGTAACTTTAAGTTAAACGTGTGTGTTTAAACTACACCTGGGGAAACTCACTTCACCTTCAGAGGCTCTGGGGAAGCTCACTCTCTCCAGTCGGGTTGCAGGGCCACCTCACCGCAGCAGACTCGCTGTGTGTGTGAGCCGCCAACGCCGCTCTGCACGTTTGAATCAGGGACGCAGGGGGGAGGGGCTAATAATATATTTAAAATTAAAAATTAAATTGTTCACTTTTGGTAAATGTATTGTTTAGTTCACTGTTTTGAGAAGCTTGTGGACATAGTGGCAGGTTTTTTTTTACAAATACAGTTTTTGGATCATCAAAGTTAGGGGGGCAGCTGGGGGGGCACGGCTCTAGAGTGGGGGGGCACCTGCCCCCCCTTGCCCCCCTGTAGATCCGCCCCTGCCCACGTAATGTGTGATATTATAGAGATGAATGATGAGTATTATGGAAAAATAATTGTGATTCTGAGTATAAAAGTTAATTTGATGTTTCCATGTCGCTATAGAGATTGTTTCTGGGAACAATTGTGGGAATTTATTTTGATTGCAACAATATACTAATAGAGAGATGCAGTGAAGATTGTTACTATAAAAGATGTTTACAGCACTTTTTTACTAAAATTCACCTTAAAGGACATCATAATATAAGCTGTAAACTACTGTTATATGAGTCTGCATACAGTTTGGTAGAATATATGTGTCATGTCATCTGGCTGGTTTAATATGTTAAAGGGACACTGTGTAGGTTTTTAGGTATTTTATTATCTGAAATCAATATTTTTATTCTTAAATATGTCCTCAATGGTGTACAAATACCTCTGCAAATTATCTGACTTATCCTCGTAAATTAAGAATTTATTATCTTTATGTACATGGGACGGGTAGGTTCACGGAGGCTTCCATGTCGTTCCGCCATCTTGAAAAACTATAATAGCAGAGAGGGTCAAAAAGTACCAACCAAACGCGTTTCCACAACGCGTTTTCGTTCAGAGCCAGCGTCATGTAACTGAAAGCAGCAGAACCGGAGGAGCAGAGCTGAGAGGCGCTGGTCACTGCCCCGGCAAGTTTAAAAGGCTGCATTGCTTCTCTTCTCTGCCTTGGAAACTTTCAATTCTATCAAGATCGTCTCTTGTAGCTGCCGCGGGCATCTTTGTCGTCGTGGTATTGACTCTCGCTCTCCTCCTCTTCCTCGTCGTCCACCTCTACTAGACGACAGCGCCGGGTGATTCTGTCAGCAGTAAATAGGCTACTTTTAAAATAATGTAACTCACGTTTGAATGCCTTTTGTTTGTGATCCGATGTGGATTCTGATCACCATATAAGGTAGAAATATTTATACGCGAGTAAAAGACTATATTGCACGCTAACCATTAACGTTACCATAGTAAACAAAATAAACGCTTGAAGATACGCATAGTAAAAAAAACATAGTGAACGTTTGAAGAAATCAGACCAATCATAAAGGTTATCACAATAATGTTTTTATTTTATCTGTCAGATAGCCTACGTCTCGTCTCTTTATACCGGACTATCATAAAATAAAGCACATTTTTTTTCCCGGGAGCTTCCTCTGTTTCTCTGACTGAAAATATCTGTAACGTTAGCCTACTGGGAGTCGAGAGAGTGCTAAAGCTCCTCAGGTCGTAGCTATTATTGGTGGCATATATTTGTAGAAATTATCATTCTTTTTAAATGTGATATATGTCCTGTTACTACCAAATAAACAGAAACAGACGCGATTGAAGTAAGTGTGTCCTATTTCTTTTGTGAAACCTAACGGTAATTTATTTCTGTGTGACTAATGTGCAATTTTGACATACATTAATTCATGATCAATGTATCGCCTTTTATTGTAGACCTGGTAAAACATCGATGCTTGGGTTTTAAATAGTCAAGTAAACAACAAAAATGCCAGCAAACGGTCGCTTTTATCATATTTGTTTTGCAATGCTGTTTCCATTTCTTTCTGATTAGTTTTCTGATAACACGGGCGTGTTTTATTGAAGCACCGCGGAGCTTCTGGCCTGACAGTGGAAACGTTCTTCTGATCCACTGCCTCTCTGTCCTCTCCCTCTACTGTTGAATCATCTGATGATGATGATGATGATGATGATATCTAATCTAACAATGCACGTACTTAAGAAAATATAACGAATAAATAAGCATAAATACTAATTACAATGGTTCATGTTTTTCACAGTCAGTAATTCATACTGTAAAGTTGCAGTTTGTTTGAAATAACAAACCTGTTCACCCAAAGGAAAACTCGACGAAGTGCTATTAGAAGACGTCCTGTCAATAGCTTTTTGGTACATAACGGCTACCGTAGATGCAATACACATTTGAAAAAGCGAGGCGCTGGAGAGCACAATTCGTTTGAATGCAAAATACAATTTCACCGCTAGATGGGAGTAATTCCTACACAATGTCCCTTTAAAGGAATTACAGTTTCCCTCATTTAATTGCTTTCATACTAAATAAAACTACACTTCATGTTTGTGCACTTTATACTCGGGGGTGAAATGACACAACAAAGGTGGTCTACTAAAGTGATTTGGACAATTAAGCCACAGTTAAAATTGTTTTGATTTTTAAATTGTAAAATGTATTTCATTGCATATAATATAATGTCAAACCAAGTTTCATCAGTTTCCCTTAAGTTTACACTGCAACAAAATGTCTATCATCACCTTTAAAATACATGACACTTGGTTTGATATTTTGTCATCTATTTTTTGTTATTATCTGATTTTTTTTTCATGAAAAAACTTTCATACACTATCGTTCAAAAGTTTGG